ACGTCGTCTTGAACGAATAATTTTTACTCTTCGTGGGGGGGTATATTTATAAAATAAGACAAAAGACGGTTAATATTTGAAGAAACGTTTTCAAAGTTACTAAATATCCCATTGCGTTTTGTGAGGTTATTTGTGCCCGGGGGTGTCTAAAACAGGACACAAAACAAATTATCAGTAACAGTTGGTTGCATTCATTAATAATTAAACTCCTTTTGCTTCTGATGTGGAGCTAGCTAGCTTCCTCTCCATAGTACTGATTAATTTTACTAGTATGGTGAAGATTTTTGCAGTAGTTTCCTCAGTTTGAACTGCCCTCTCCACCGAAACCGTTTTCCAATTCGACCATCATTTCGCACAACCGATGTTTCTCTATCGTACAGTATGATGTGGCGCATCCGTCTGGCGCTGAATACATAAAGAGCCGATATATATCTTTTTTATATTTTATCAGTTTCGCTTCTTTTTTCATTGAGTATTTTTCAGGCAGGGGAAGCAGCTAATCAACCAGCTGCCATACAACACGCATCATGGGGAAAGACAGGCGGTGGTGGTGGGATTCGAACACACGCCATTCAAGGTAATAATCGGTGAAGTTACCACCAGTCTACCACTGCCCGGAGCAGCTGGAGATTGTAAATCTAATCAACCCAGAACTAACTTCGTCAATATACGATTAGAATAACCAAACTGATCGGATAATTCACGCACATCAGATGTTAGGTTTGTGGTTATTCACAAAAGCCGCAGTATTTTTACAGTCTCACAGGTTTGCTTTCAGTACGAAACGCACAGACTGAAATTCCGTTCTCTCCATAAAATGCATCAAGATTGAAAAGTAATTATTCAGTTAAACGTCACTCACTACAATGATCGATCAACCAGTTCGTGTGGAGGAGTTTCCAACCAAGTCATAACTGTGAAGATCAGTGTAAGGGACAAACTAAAACAGCGTCCAATCAGCCTCTCGGCGGTCAAGTGGGTGGTACGCTTGCGTTCTACCAGTGTTGAGGTCTCAGGTTCGATCCTTAGAGTGGGGTCTATAGTTATTTCTCACTGTGTGAACAAAACAGCTGTCCAGTACTGTCAGGCTTCGTCAACTCCCAATACAGTAAAAATCAAATACTCCACTACTCTCATCAACGCAGACAAGGGTAAACAGTTAGTGGCTTCGATCGTCAACTGGTTTTCCCAACGAGCTTTAGTGAACGACTTGAACATCACTCTGAGTACGTGGAAAACGATCAATAGAGACCTTCGTTTGTTTACAACCCATCAAAATGCGCATTCGCAAAAAATCTTGTTACAGTAACCAATCCTTTACACATATACACATATAAATAGATTCTAGCCATTTGTTTATCAACAGAGGAACATAGCTCACAATTCATAGGAGGGTCAATATACTCGGACCGTAAGGATGGAACTCTATCGATGTCACTGGATGTGGGCGATGATTTTCTACGGCTACAAGTGTAGCTGAAAGTAGAAATAGAAGAGTGCTCATCACCTGTGAGCTGCCTTTGCTTATGACGTTTTGTGTTCTCAAATTCCAAGCGCATGATGGGTGAAGTTCGATATGAGTCACTAGGGCTGTGGTGGCCAGGTGGTCAGGTCACCAACTTGTGATCTGTGAGTCCCGGGTTCGAACCGCTCCACCTCCGCCCGTCTTCCCAGGCGGTCTTTGTATGGCCGCGGCCCCCCTTCCAGAATGTTGACTGTAAGTTTGTATATTCAATAAAGAAAAAAGGAAGTAAAAAGACATTATTATTATAGGAGCTTTAGTGGAGGCCTTCTTTGAACCGGTCGATGGGTTATCTGCTGTTTCATCAAATGGTTTGAGCGCATGAAACTATGCATGAATGCCGATAGAGAATACTTCGAGAAAATGGAATGCTTATTTTTGTAAGTAACAAACAAAACTTTTGTGAATCCCGACTTTTTCCTTAGCCCTCGTATGAAACATAAAGGTGACCGTTTGTCCGAAGACCATAGTTAGGGATTTCATTGAAATCCCCCCCCCCCCCGGGTATTTGAATAGATTAAAAATTCACTCTCATTTCAAATCGGTAGCAGCATGGCAGAAGTGAAAAAAAACGATTGAGTCTGATCCCTGTAAGCGAATGAACAGGAGGACAAAATTCAAAATCAATTCGGTTCAAAACACTGGTCCCCGTTCAAAATTTATTCCTGGTAACAGAAATCAATCAAACAAACAAACAAAAGAACAAGATTGGACATGAAATTCGCTTCAGAGGGTTTCTCTTTTGGTTTGTTCAACCAATTATGGAATGGTAAATGCTATCGTGTGATCACGTGTTTGGAGTTAACTTGACAGTGGAAAATGAACTATCACGGAGAGACAGGCGGCCTAAGGGTACCAGTAGGGCTTGTGAATTTCACATGGAAAACCTCTGCATTGCCGAACTGGTGGTTATCAGCACCCCCACACACAAATCTGAACACAATTCGGTTGCACGAGAAAACAAACACACAGAAAACGCAAGCTTGCCGATTCCCGTCAAAAGTGTAATGTGTGCGCGGTGAATTCGTACACCCCCGAACAGAATTGGCCACACATATTACACTTCCATGGTTCATCCACGCAATGTAATCCCATGTGCAAACTGAATAAAGTTTTCTGTCCAAATCCAATTTGACAATGTGGACAGTAGAAGGGAAGTCGAACTTCACTTTTCAGCGTGGCTCCAGATTCCGACATGGAGCTGGTAAATTCCGAATTGTGAATGGGATTTCGAGTGGTTTGGGTTTGGTGCAACTGAACACGAGCTGGCTGAACAACCGTGGACACCGGTGTTCGAACAGGGGAGTTTGCACTGGACGCGGATGTTCGATAGCTAGTCGAATCAGCACCGGAAACGGGAGACACGGGGCGACGTGCAAGGCGATTTGTTACATACGTGTTGCGTCGAAGTCGCTTACTTTTATGGTTGGCCCGCTTGCCCAAAATCGATCTTCCCAAACCTGGTTTGCGTAACACCGGTCGGTTACTCAGTATTGACGGAACGGTGGACCAAATTTTGTTCTGCAATGTTTGGATGGAAGAGAAAAACAGAGACATTGTTACAGTTATCATTATCCTTAAGTTAAACTGCATTTGGAATCTAACTTTTAAAGAATGTCTGCAGTGTGACTAGTGAACGGTTTCATACGAAAAGGTTTTGTTACTAGACGAAGTGTGATACAGTCAGTCGCTAAATGTCTGTCAAAAAACAATAACTGGTCCACCTCCCGAGTTGTATGTAGATACATATTATCGTGGAAGCTCATCGTGTTAAAATTGATCATAAGACAATGCAATATTATTCAGAATTCCATATTTGATACTTATCGAATTACACTACTGATTAAAAAATAGGTAGGCAAAGTTTCATCTAAAAATGTCGTCTTAGACAGGTACTCGTGTAACAATAAAATTTTAAACCAATAAGTTCAATAAATGCAGTAAATAGTAGCATTTACAAACAACTAAAATTCAGAGAAATTTGAATAACTGATTAACTGGTTAGTTTTGATTGTTCTACCAATTATTTTGGTGCGGCTCCTCGATGTGATGACGCCAGTCGCGAAATTTCATAACGCCTTCATGATAAACATCTAGAACTCTAATTTGCCTTCTGAAGTTCTTGAACTTGGGGAATCAGTGAGAAATAAATACGAAAGGATTGGCGGAATATCTCGCGGACATTGGAGGAAACATCGAGGTGATTGGAGAGTAGCACTGCGTCAAAGAGCCTTGTCACAACTATGCATACCCATCATTATCAGCAACAACGTCCGTTCTTTGCTTGGAAAATTACCAAATATATCTGATTTTGTGCGCTGTATGGATCAATCTAACTTAGGCGCAATTCTTTTACAAGAGATCTGGTTATATAGCAAAATTGATGAACAGCTTATTAAAATCGATGGCTTCATTGGATACCGTGTCGACTGTCCGGCAACGTATCAGAGGCGTGGAGTAGGCCTGGTGACTTATATCAACAACAATTGGTACAAGAACATGAAGCAAACATTTGCTCATTTCACTGGTCACATATATGACTCCGTATATGAATGCAAGCCAAAACACCTCAACAAATATCGGTCGATTATCTTAGCTACTATTTATATTTCTCCTTCTTGTCCCTCAGAGGAAATCCTACATTTTTCAGAAACTATTTCCATAACTTTAATGAGTTATATTGATTTCTCGCTATGTATCCTCTGTGGTGATTTCATTCGTGTTGATATCTTATTCTTGTCTGTTCTGGGTTTGATAAACATAGTGAGTTTCCCAACAAGACTAAATGCTCATTAAGACAAATATTTTGTAAATAATACTGGCATTTTTTCGTATCTTCCCACTCCCCTCTTGGGTCTTCAGACCATGCCCTTATTAAAGTTTCTCCAAAAGTATACAGCAGGGTCAATCACATATTAATCACAAAAAAGCCGTGACATAAATAGAAGAAAACGTCAATGTAATCAAAAGAACCAAAAGAGGCTCAATATGATGGCCTCTCAGGCGGACTTCAGTGTGTTCGACAACCCCATTCCTTCCATCTACTGTGATCACCTTACACATTATCTAAACTTTTGCTACGATATATGATGTCCCTGGGAGACGCTATACCTTCGGTGTGACCGCATCTCGTCTCCTCATCTGAAGCAGTTGCGTCGAATATAGGAAAGGGCATACAAAATCAAAGATCTTCAAAGAGTGAAACTCTTATCTCTTGCTATCAAAGGTGAGCTACATCGAATGAACAGTATCTACACTTGGACACTCCTACGCAAAAAAACCTGCCGGGAAACCTGAGACACCGTCAAGCAACTGAGTGGGCAATCCTCAATCGCGTCTCGAACAGCAATAGACGTTGAGTAACTAAATAGAACATTCAACAAAAGTACCAACAACACGGGGACGGGGCCAATCATCACCAGTGCAAACATCAACCCCAACAATAAAGAACCCTTTGCGATTTGACAACAGAATGTTCTGAAAGAGTTGCTGGCACTCAAACCCAATAAATCACCCGGTCCCGATAGGTTAGAGACTACCATCCTTAAGGAGTGCGCTCACACACTTACGCCAGTGCTCACAGCTCTGTTTACCTCGTGCTTGGAACACGGAATTATACCAGATTGTTGGAAAGCTGCCTCCATCACTCCAGTGCCTGAAAGAGGCACCTCAAAATTCCGTTCTATTGCATGTTCGTTTGTTGTGTTGAAGGTTTTCGGGAAGTTACTCCTTCAAGGAATGTCACAG